CATACGCCTCCACGAGCTTCATAGCCTGGAGGGAAATGTACACCAATGGATTATGCATGGCGAGGCAATGCAAAGCAGCAAGCGAAGCAGCAAGGGAGGTGGAAGGCAGCATGACAACAAGGAAAGGCACTCAAAGCAAGCCTGGCAACAAGGGAAGGCAGTGAAAGCCAGCATGGAAGCGAAGAAAAGCCATTGAAAGCCACCATCAAAGGAAGTCCAGGATAAACGTGCGGCCATAAAGACGAATTTCAGTCTTATTAGCATACTCATCCACTTACAAGCAACTTCTCAAGTCATAAGCCAAAACAAGAAAGGGTTTCCTACTTGATGTGCATACCCATTTTCTTATGTGCGTTTTTGCGTCAACTTGGGGTGACTTGCCACTCAGCAGCTCAAGAAGCACGATTCCAAAGCTGCAAGCAATCATCCAATTGGAAAGAATTACATAGAAATGTAGAGATGGCAACTCAAGGTACGAGAACTCAACATAGCCAGGGGGGTAATAAAAAAGGTGAATACAATACGTTTCTTGTGTCGTGCAAAAGGAACAAGCATGCACAGAGGTAGAGATAGCAATACAGGGCATAACTTGGAAGAAGAAGAAGAATAAAAGAAGAAGAAAAAAAAAACAGAAAAGCACAGTCGCATTGTGCAAAGGAACAAGCATGCGGACCTGAACACGTCACTCTTGACAGTGATGACGTGGGTGCGGGTGTAGTCCGGATCCACATAGCCCGGAGTGCCGGCCACTCGCGTGACATCAGCATCGCCGTGAGTGAGGCGCTTGAGCAGCCCAAAGTCAGACACCTTGGCTTGCATGTCTGCTGTCACAAGGATGTTGGCTGGCTTGATGTCGCGGTGAACAATGGGTGTGTCAAACCCATGCAGGTATGCCAGCCCCTCTGCTGCTCCCTGTGCCAAGCGCAACCTCTGGCGCAGCGAGAGAGGATCTGGGCCATGGAACATGGAGACGAAGCAAAAAACGTGAGTTTTTTAGCGATGGTCTCATGTCCTGGGCAAAATAGCAAATGCTTAGCAACCATTCAGCCCTCGTGCGAGTGCAACTCACGTTTGCTCGCATGGATGTGGTACTGGAGGTCTCTGTTTGCCATGAACTCGTACACGAGGATCTGCTCCTGCTTGCCCGTCTCCACGTTCTGGTCCAGGCAGAAGCCCAGCAGGCGCACTAGGTGTGTGTGGTGGAGAGACGCCATGGCTCGCACCTGTAGTGAGAGCACGATGAAGTGCGGACCACAGCAGCCATGGAATGGAATGGAATGGCGAGAACTGAATCTGACTTTTTGGAAAACAGTGAGTGCATGGGGGGGGGCGGAATGGAGGCATGCCTGACCTCCGTCTCAAAGTCGCTGGTCATGATGGTGGAGCGCTTGATGGCCCACAGCAGGCCCTGTGGCGAGTGGCCTTTGTACACAATGCCGAAGCCTCCCTTACCCAGCACATTGTCCTCTGACCAGTTGTTGGTGGCACTCAGCATCTGCTGCAGCGTGAACTGCTCACACACATCCAAACCCTCCCACTTCTCTGTGCCACACAAAACGCCAGACAAGAGATTGAGGGACTACGGGTGTAGATGAGAACTCAGAGCATGCTTTCAGTGGTGAGGCAGATTTATAGTGCACGAAATAAAGAGAGCTGGGGAGTGGGGAAGGAAGCCAGGAAATAGGTGCAGCAATGGGGGAGATGGAATGGAGCTGAAGAAGGGTTGAGGGGCGCACTTTGTCTACGGGGCCACAGCAGCCATGCGACCACAGCAGCCAGCAGCGTGAAGCCAGCAAAGCTTCCCAGAACAATGCCCACTATGGCACCCGTGGACAGAGAGGACACTACCAAGGAAGGGGAGGTTAAGGGAAACAGGGTGGTGGTTACGGGGACGTGTCGAGGTGAGGAAAAGAGCGATAGCGCGTGGGTAACAAAAGCCTCATGACATGGTAATTGTGCAGCATGGAAGAGTGAGTGTGAGGCAGTGGGGATACCAGTGGTGGTGTTGGAGTAGACGATGGCGCATGTGGAGCCGTTGCCCGAGTCATCAGTGGAGTAGCCGGCATCACCAAGGCACGTAAGACTGGGGCAGCGCGGATAAGAAATGCCTACCAGTGGTGGTGTTGGAGTGGAAGATGGCGCATGCATGTGGAGCCGTTGCTCGAGTCATCAGTGGAGTAGCCGGCATCACAGAGGAGAGGAGAGGCACGTGAAGTTGGTAGAGGAGGCAGTGATGTGGAGCTGTAAGAGTGAGGTACTGGTGTAATAATGAAGCAATGCCTACCAGTGGTGGTGTTGGAGTAGATGATGGCGCATGTGGAGCCGTTGCCCGAGTCAACAGTGGAGTAGCCGGCATCACAGAGGCACGTGAAGTTGGTGCGGGAGGTGGGGTCAGCCGGTACACATGCCCCATGGCCGTCACACGGGTCATTGTCCGTGATGCTGCAGAACGCCTGGCAGGCTCCTCTGCTGCGCTGGGTGGCGTTTGACGAGCACTTCTTGTTCGGGGTGAGGGTGAGGCAGTTGCCCGACAGACTCACCCTCACCATCCTTCCAGACTCTGCCACGGAGTTATCTAGTGCAGCATTGCTGCACTTGCCACCAAACTCTCGATAGATAAGAGAGGTGTCCCACATGTCGAGGTTATTGGGCTCGTTCACCTCGGTGGGGCAGACCTTGCAGCCAGCAGCAAAGAGCACCCCATCGCCATAGAAGAAGTTGTGAGCCAAGTTGATGAGGGCATTGCCATCGGCTACCATGTTCTCAAAGTCGCGGTTGATGCGCCCATACAGGCTGTTGCCGCTCACATCACTGTGGGTGGGGAGCAGGGGGGGTCCAAAGAAGAAGTTGTGTGCCAAGCTGACGAGGGCATCGCTATTCGCCACCATGTTCTCGAATTCGCAGTTGATGCGCCCATACAGGCTGCTGCCGCTCACATCACTGTGGGAAGCACAGGGGAGGGGCCTCATGGAGGGCAGGAGATGATCTTGATGTCTTACTGGATAATGATGGTGTGATGCCTATGTTGAGGGTGCGAGATGTCATGGATGGTACTGAGAATAGAGTGTGCTCGGTGGGCTCACATTTGGTTGATACACTTGTCAAAGAGGCAGTCTGGCAGGGGTCCGTAGAGGTAGTTGTTGCGCACCATGCTGCCAGCAGCACAGCACACACCATGCCGCATCGTGACTCACGCCCATACGGAAAGACAAACACACAAAAGTGAAACTAGTTCCTAGATTTCAACAATTTCTAAAATCATGAAAAAATCCGGAAGTATACAACCTGCATTCAAATAGCAATGGTATGAAAAACGTAAGTCCTGGCTGGCAAACTTCTCAAAAAGATCAATCATGTGTATAACAGCCACTCACAAGCGCCACAGCCAGCGCAGAGAGCATAACTCAGTTGGCAGAGGGCCTTCAATCTTATTGTTGTCCAACCAGCTGCGGGGACAGGCAGAGCATTGGCAGGATCGAAGGCGCCAGCCGTTGCATGAAGAGCAGGGGGTGGAGTGGGGATGTCACATGTGATGTTTGAGTCTTTTGGTCTCTTGTGTTCGTTCCATGTTGTGTGTGAAATTTTGCTAGATCTTTTACAAGCTTCTACTACAAGCTTGCGCTTGTGCTGCCTGCGTTGCTTCCTATGCTGCAAATGTGCTTGAGATGGCAAAGATGGTCAAACCGGCTGATTGGCAAACATCACCCTCACATCTGTTCGAGGTTCTTGAGTCTGCTGATGGCAGATGGCAGACTGCCAGTCAAAAGGTTGTTGGCCATGTAGCTGAAAGACAATGGCAATGGCAGGGAGGGAAGGGAGGCACTGGACTGGCCATGTACTGACGGGCAACAGCAATGGCAGGGAGACAATGCGATGAGAAGCGGTGCATGCAAGAGAATTTCGGGCTGATGCGTGAAAACAACACCATGGAGCGGAGACTCTTATCAACAGGATTCGTAAAAGCTTGATACTTACAGGAATTTCAGATTTTTCATGGTGAAGATGGCTGAGGGGATGGTGCCTGTCAGTTGGTTGTTGTTGAGTAAACTGCAAGGCATGGCAGAGGGTACATGGGCTGAGGTGAGGTGTGCATTGAGCATGTGCGGCTAGGACTCAGGACTGCGTGCAACCATAGGATGACAATGCTACCTTCTCTCTGCAATGGTCCGAAGGTGGCTTTCGCACACAACAGCCCACCCTCTTCAGATGGGAACGGTTCATGGTTATGTGCTGATGGCAGGCATTGTGGGCAGTTGGGACAAAATATGGCTCACATGCCGTCGATGGTGGTGAGTTTGGAAATGGAGTCAGGAATCGACCCTGTGAAGTTGTTGCGGCTGAGATCTCTGAGTCACACAGGTGAGGCAGCAATGACATAGCCTGACGTGAGTGGGCGGCTGAACATGATCCTTGTTATGGGTGCAGTGCAATACATGGGAATGTACGGGACAACTTCACAGGGACGAACCCCATGGTGCTAAGAGCAAGTTTGAGCAAATGATCTTCAGAGTGGGGCAGGGAGGGAAAGACTGTGGGGAGGCTTACAACGATTTGAAATTGACGTTCCAGCGTGAAAAGTCTGGTAAGGGGCCCGTGAAGTCATTTCCTCCCAGGCTACTGCACAGTGAAAGAGGAGCGAATAGACAATTGATGGGCATCAACACTAAGCAAAAGAGGAAAGGGTGGCACCAGGCATACACAGTGGTTGCTGCAACACACACAGTGGTTGCTGCAACACAACACACACAGTGGTTGCTGCAACACAACACACACAGTGGTTGCACTACTTACAGTAAGTTAAGATAAGAGTTGGTTCTGAGAGTCGCTGGGAGCTCCCCAGACAAAAAGTTGTTGGTTACATCCCTGTGTTGGGAAGGAGGGGACATAGAAGGAAGGCTGGATGCATCTGGTAGAGTTAACCCAAGATTACTTCCAAATAACATACTTGCATTGTAGGCTTCTACAAGACAGGCAACTAGCGGGCATGCAAATCCAAAGCAACTAGCAGGCATGCGAATTCGGGATCAAGTAGTTGGCAATGGAGCAGAATCCGTGCAAAGTACCATTTGTTTCTCGGAGATTGTTGTAATCAGTGTGTATGCACACTCAGATCTTCACCGTCTCATTGAAAGATAGAGCTGCAGGCGCACTAAGGTGGAATATGAAAGAAAAGGATCTTGTGAAACAGGAGTAATGGAGCTACTTACAGCCAGCCCAACGAGGAATTCTGAAACAGGACGGATGGGATGACTCCACTGAACTTGTTGTCATTGAGATTTCTGGTAAATGGTATCAACAGCCTCTGAGCGACCTCAAGATTTTAAAGCAGAAGGTTACTTACTGCATGGAAGACTTGCTATTCAACGCTCAACCCCGAGACATTGTCCTACTTGGTAACTCTTAGTCTCTTGTTCACGTCCCGTCCCTTTTAGTTCCACTTCCCAATACACTTCTCCTAAATCTGTGCTGGATCAAGCAGCGGCGCGACTCACATCTGTTCCAAGTATACAAGATTGGTCAATTCACTGGGGATAGTCCCTGTGAAACTGTTGTTGCCCATGCTCCTGCCCAAGGTTCAAAAATACGACCGAAATTTTGAAATTTCACCGTATTATACGGTTTTGTATTATACGGTGGTTTAAAACGGTTTAGTACGGTCATCTGTTACATTTATGTTTCGATTAAAAATACGGTCGTTTTTTTCGGTCGAAATTTTAGAACCGAACAATGTACAATAAATTTCAACATTAGAACAATTTCGAGGGTTATATGGGGGATGTCTTGCAAAGTCTTGTCAGTCCCGCCAATGTTTGGGACGAGTCGCGCAAGTCAGCAACATGCCGAGGCGCGACATGTCTGACATTTGACGAAAGGGGGGAAATGCAAACCCGTTTCGCAGAGTCGTTAGGGTCGTTCGCCGCATCGCGCCAACACCAATTTGTCGAGGCGCGACATTTTACAAAATTGGCGAACCCACCATAATTTTTTACCCGTTTCGCTGAGTCGTCAATCGAACTCGCGCCTTGATCTTCAGTATCGCATGCAATCGTGGCGCTCCACACATTTGAGTGCGACACGTTTCCAGCCAATAGCAATCGCACATTCAACTTCCAGCTCATCTCATCCATTCTTCAAACCTCCCGTCGTCAATACAGCACCATCAAGCAGTAAGAGGTACATATTGCTGCTGGAAAAACCCACTCGACACATTCAACCTCACTCTCGCTGCCTCAAGTCTTCATATCACTGATCTCTGACCCACTCGTTCTTAGCATAGTGTTATACGACGCCATGGTGCGTCCCGCTTCGGAGTATTGGGAGCATGTCAAGAAGATTAAGGATGCAGACGAGCGGGTATTCGGTGCAACCTGCATCCATTGCACACTTCCTGTGACGGCTAATGCGACTAGGATCCGCGAGCACATATTCGGCACTAACAAGAAGGATAAAAACGTCGCGATGTGCAAGTCGGACTACGCTAAGCAGCGGCGGGCGACAGCCGATCAGGAGCGCTCATCCACGGGAAATGGTTCGGGTGGTACGGGAGGATCAAACCGTGCCTCCACGTCCACGGTGGAAACGACGCCCGCGCGTCGCTCTCGGCAGCGAGATATCCGCGAAATGACGGATGAAGTTGCGCAGACTCGGCTGGATTACCTGTGGGCTGCTGCAGTTGCCGAGAACGACCTCGCCTTCAACGTCAGCAAGTCGAAGTCGATCCAGGCGTTCGTTGACGCGGTGATCGTGTACGCGAAACCGTACACCCTCCCCACCCCGTACAAGGTATCCAGCCCGCTGCTCGACAAGCTGAAGGCGGACTCGGAGGACCTTGTGCGGCCGTTGAAGGACAGTTGGAAGACAAGCGGGTGCACGCTCTCAATCGATGGGTGGACGTGCATCAAATCCCGCGGTTTGGTGTGTGTGATCGCGCTGAATGACACTGCACCCATCATCGTCGACATCGTCGATTCGAAGACCGCAAGGAAAACCGGGGACTACTTGGCGGGTCTAATTGATGGAGCGATCAAGACGGTGGGGCCGAAGCATGTCGTCCAAGTCGTGATGGACAACGCCTCGAACAACAAGAACGCCGCCAACAAGCTACGCGTGGAGTATCCGCATATCTTCTTCACCAACTGTGCCGCCCACTGCCTAGATCTCATGTTGCACGACATCGGCAACATCCCGGCTGTTAAGCGCGTCCTTGCTCAGGTGCACAGCGTGGTGATGATGATCAAAGGCTCCGCTTCGGCCGTCGTTCTGTTCCGTGAGCTTTTTACCAAGCTCTCGTTGGTGCGGCCGGGTGCAACGAGATTCGGCACCCAGGTCATCATGCTCGGCAGGTTCCTGGAGGTGAAGCGCGCGTTGAGGGCGATGGTTGTCAGCGAGGAGTGGGATGATGTGGCGGTGGCACGGACGGAGGAGGGGATGGAGGTTAGGAAGCTGCTTTTGGATGATGTTTTTTGGGACTGTGGGACGGCAGTGTTGCGCCTCATGACTCCGGTCTACGAGGTTCTTCGCGCCGTTGACACACGGGCTCAACTCATGGGGCAGCTGTACGGCCTCATGCTTGAGGCCACGGTGAAGACGACTAAGGCGGCCGAGGAGGCTGGTAAGTGGGCCGGCGGAAAGCATAATGATGTGGTATAAACATTCATTCTCCCCATACGTCCGCTCGTTCTTTGTTACTAACTAGTTCTCGTTATACACTGTGCGCAGCCGCACACTTCATCAAGCGGACGGGTCTGCTACTGCACAAGGACAAGAGCACCTTTCTCACCGCCATCAAGTCGATCATAGCCAGGAGGTGGGACGCTCAACTGCACAACCCACTGCACGCCCTCGGTTGGCTTCTCAACCCCCGTAACCAGTACATCGCGGAGGTAAGGAACGATCCCGAGATTAGGAAGGGGACGGATGAGGTAATCCAAGCCCGTGGGGGGGATGTGCAGCAGCGCGTAACCCTAGCTGCACAGGTGGCTCAGTTTCACCGAGGGGAGGGCAGGCTGGGCTCTCACGATGCCCGTTGGGCAGCAACGACCTTGGTGGCGGCGGGGCGCATGACGGATGCGGAATGGTGGTTCCTGTTTGGTGGGGATGTGCAGGCGCTCCAAGACCTGGCTGTGACGTCACTCTCACAGCCAGTCACCTCCTCCGAGGTGGAGCGCTATTGGTCGGCGCTGGCACGTGTGCAGAGGCGCGACCGGAACCGCCTCACGGCGCAGAAGATGACTGACGTCACCTTCGTCGCCTTCACCCGGCGGGCCCGTGATGCCTTTGATCGAAAGGCAGCCCTGCGTTCCAAGCTCTATTCGGACCTGGGCAACGGCACCCTCAGGGAAGGGGCTGCCATCATCCCGGCCGAAGTGGAGGAGGAGGAAGGGGATGCTGAAGAAGAGGGACAAGTGGAGGTGGAGGAATGCACCATTGATTGGTCGGAATTTGGAAGCATCGGCAAGAAGAGGAAAGGGAAGGCGGGTGAGTCATCTAAAGGGAAGAAAAAGGGGAAGGGCAACGGTGCATGCAGTGGAAAGGGGAAAGGAAAAGCACGGGATGCGGAAGAGAAAGAGGAGGGGGAAGACAGCGGTGGGGAGGAGGAAGCGCCTGCCCAGAATCCCAAGGGACGATATGCCTGGGATTGCAGCGACGGTTCAAGTGGGGAGGATGAAGAGGAGGACGAGGACGAAGAAGAGTATGAGTAGAGTAGTGAAGGGACCTCCACATGCCAGGGTTGCAGCGACGGTTTGAGTGGGGAGGAGGAAGAGGAGGACCAGGTGCTGGAGTAGGAAGAATAGAAGGGAGGTTGAGTATAGTGGGGACGGATTTAGGAGGAATGGAGAGGCCCTAGGCAGGGACTTGCCTAGGTAGGCATGCATGCATGCATAGTAAGAGTAGCGTCATTAGCAGTAGACCTTTGCAGGCCTGTTTCTCCTTAGAGTAGGTTGTTATTGCCTTCCTAGTCATTGTTGTAGCAATTTCAGTAGATTCTGGAAAAAAATCCAGTGACAAAAAATGGCCAACAAAAAAACGGCCGAATGTTTGCCAAACACACCGTATTATACCATCGAAAAAAACGGCCCGTATAATACAATAGCCGTATTTTTGATCCTTGCTCCTGCCATGAACATTCCAATTGCAATTGCCCCATATGAGTTGTTCCGAAAGTTGTTTCAGGGGGTACTGGAATGGAGAGATGCCAGCATTTGTTCCATTAGTCTAACCCCCTTTGTTCTAGACTGCGAGTGAAAGTCTTACAGGAATCTAAGCCTCTTTAGGTGCAGGATAGCATCCGGGAAACTTCCAGTAAAGCTGTTGTTTCCAATGTCCCTGAATGCAATCCAAGATACAGCATGTGTTGGGAGACGATGAAACAAATACATGGGAAAGGCACATGGGAAAGCACACATTCAGGTACAGGCCACTGCACACATGCACATGTGGGCACAAAACGATGGCATCCATGCACACACAGATTGAATGTGTAAATTGTGGTGTGCATGCTCATAAACGGAGGGTACAAATGCACCCGTATATTGGCCTATGCACATAAGCGTTTATGCACCATGACATGAGTTGACAATACACGAGATGATTATAAAAAGCAGACAAAATGTTACTTGGGTGCCCTTAAAATAAGGGCAGTCACAACGTGAAGTGGAATGTTGCAGCATCCCATCGACTCGTTTAGGTTCGATGAAAGAGCAGCCGCACAGATGAGGGGAGATAGATTGAGTGAACTTACAGATCTTGGAGGCCACTAATTGCTGAAAAAGACGTCGGAAACACACCAGAGAAGTTGTTGTTATGAAGGTATCTGAAAAGAAATACCGGAGAAAGCATCTCAGATGTTGCACACAGCCAAAATGAAGGGAAGCGGTGGAGAGCAACGTGGGGGCCAATAGGAGGCTGCTGAGGTGGGGAAGAGGGAGGAAACTCACACGATGTAGAGCCATGTCATCTGAGGCACCACGTCAAGGCCTGAGCTGAGTTTGTTGGCACCAATGTAACGCACACGCATGCATGCAAAGGCAACTAGCATAAGGGTTTACTCGCCTTCACACCACTTGTTTGGGACAAGTTATGAATATTTGACCTCGCCGAAAACGCTCGGTTGAGTCGACAAGGTAAAAAGAAAAAGAAAAAGAAAGAAAGAAAAAAAACTTTACATTTCAGGCCCTTATAGAAAAAGAAAAAGAAAAAAGAAAAAGAAAAAGAAAAAGAAAGAAAGAAAAAAAAACTTTACATTTCAGGCCCTTATAGACGTGACGCAAGCGTAACTCACTCACCTGTGGACGAGTTTCTAGTAAAAAAACAGCTGAGTAAAAATAACACAAAAAAAAACTGAGTTTTTTCCTACAATGACAAGTTTCATTTGACAAGTTTCATTAGGGACTAAGGCCTGAAAAACACTTAACTGAGTCCTACTCGGCTCGCAGCGGCATCGCTACTCGACCGAATCATGCTACAAAGGAGGCCAGTTTAATTCGCTTTATGACTTTGTACAAGTATATAAGGCTGGGGACGCAGTGAACAACCAGCAACATGGCTTTCCCACTTGGTCGGCTGAAGGCTTCAAGGTTAACAGAGGCAATCAAAGGACGTCCGAGGGAAAAATCCAGAGAGCTCCGATTGCAGAAAGGAAGGACATCAAAGGAACATGGTTTAGCAGGGAATGCATGAAGTGAAGGAAAAAAGAGGAGCGGAAGCATGAAATGGTACTGATTAATGAAGGTGCGGGAAGTAAAACAGCTGGGGTTAGGCTTGGAAAGGTGGATCAGGAGGCGGAGGGAAGAGTGACGTACAATGACTTGATATTGGTGGCAAATGCAGGTATTCTACCAGACAGTTGATTCCGCGAGAGGTCTCTGCAGTAGAGGAGGGCAGGACATGTGATGTGCTGAGTGAGGAAGGGGCAGACGAGGGAAGGATATAGACAAGGCCAGACTGAGTTAGACAATGGGAAGAAGGGACACAGGAAAGGAAACTCACATTGAAATTAGACTTGTTAGGCCCAAGAACGAAGTCGGAATGGTTCCTTGAAACTGGTTGGACCTCAAAGATCTGATCAGAAGAAGAAGAAAAATAATAATTTTTTTAAAAAATTGGTGATGTCACACATAGGCCTTAAGCAAAGTACAGAACTGCCGTTTCTTTGTGTAAAAAATGGTTTGGCTTGTACCAGTGGTTCAATTCGCAGTTCGAAAGGTTCAACTTCAAGCCACTTGAGGTACGTCGAACTGAACCAGAGAAACATTTTCAGGATACCCTAACTCCTTTCCTAAACTCGTGCAATGAGCATGTTTAGTGGGCGAACCAAACATGTTTGGTTCGGCCCGAACACTTTCTGAAATAAGTGTTCAGTGTTCGACTCTTCGCCTTTGTAGGCAAACATGCTTGTGTTCGTCAAGTGGGCGTATTCCGCTAGTCACATCAGAAGCAACTTTAGTTTCGCAATGTATCTGAATGCCTTACTCCCTGTATGGTTTGGGAAAATAAGAAAGCAGTGTTGTAACGCTTGTTAACACATTCGTGTTTGCCGTGACCAATTTTAAGCATGTTCGTGTTCGACGCAGCTGAACCGAATCGACTTTAAGCTCAAGCATAGGCTATGATGGCACACATTTGTTTCCCACTCTATTCGCCAGTGTTTCATTTTGGAAATACGCGAACGTACGCCGAAGCGGACCCATCCCAATATGCTGACCAGGTCGACCCGACTCGATCTGGTTGGGTCGTGCTGGGCTGGGTCTGGTCTCCCTGGTCCATCATTCAGATTGCAAATCCAGCCAGGCCTTACACTGAGACCTGTCCTTTCCTTTCCGACCCGCCGGCGCCACCAGGTCGAGTATTTGTGCAGATATCATTTTTTATTGTCATTGATTGAGCGTAGGCACTCCCTTGTACCTAAAAAGCGTGTGATGGGTTTTAAAAAAAAAACCCACTCGCCACTGCTTACCACCGATCACCGCACTGGATCTACAAGACCCAAATTTCACACACCCTTTTACAGATCTCGACATGGAGCTCAGCCCAACCCTTGCGCCATCCTTCAGCCCATCGCTCATATCCCCCACCCAAATGTCGAATTTAGCGTGCAATTTGAAAAACATAGCTCTTAACAAAACCAAGAAGTCCCGACCCGCTCGTCTGTGTTGAGTGCAATACATGGTTTGCACGGCAACCTACCGCCTATTCGCCGACGGTAATGGAAAATGGGGGAGTTCTGTTTGAAGGTAATTTGTGGCGTGAGAGATGTGCATTTCATTTTGCATTTTGTGTGTGCGCATTTTGAGTGTGTTCTGTGCGCACTCGTCCTTTAATTTTGTGTGTTTCGTTTTCATTTGTAATTGCATTTTGTGTTTGTGCATTTTCATTTTCGTTTTCACTGTTCTCATGAAGCGCTCAAATGAGGCTCACATGATGCGCTCAAATGAAGCTCTCATGACGCGCTCAAATGAGGCTCCCATGACGCGCTCAAATGAAGCTCTCATGAAAGCTCAAATGAAAGCTCTCATGAAGCTCAAATGATCCTCAAATGAGCTTCCCATGAAAGTCCCATTTGTTTTTCATGTTTCATGCGTGTCCCATGCGAGCGGGTGGTGTACCATGGGGCGTTTCTGTGGGGCTCGACACTTTGATTCGTCAAAGGGGGTGCTGTTGACTTTCGCGCTGGTCAAGCACGCGAAATCTTGACCGCGCGTGTGGTCCTAATTTCGCGTGTGGGCCCTGAGGGCCCGAGCGTGTGCTCGCGCACTGTTGCGAGCGTGGCAGGGCCCACGATCGCAACAGGACAGGGCGAATGATCGCCCTGCCCACGCGCAGTACAGCACGACCAGTTTGTTTGGTCGTGCATGATTGCGCACCTGAGGGGTGCGCGTGTGTTTTGAGTGGGTGCTGCGGGATTCCGAAGGGTACTCGGAATTTACAATTGAAAAACTGTTTTTCGGAGTTGACTCACGGAACAAGAATTTGCGCACGAAAGTCACACCGCTTTGCGGAATGATTTCGACGCAGGTACAAAACGGTTATTCCGTTTTCTCAACGGTAAAAACCGTTTTACAACTGTTTGCTCGCATGAAATTCATGAGTGCCAAATTGGAGCTACATTGGAACTCATGAGTGCACTCATTTGAGTCAGCAAGGTAATTGTCATATGTGGAATTTGAAGACAGGTATTTTCAAGAGGAGAATCAAGCCAAATTCGCATGGAGTTGAGCAACCGTTTTCCAAGACAGCAAGGCGAAATTCTAGAATGCAGTTAAATAACTGTTTCGCTATTTTCCTTTGCCTGTATGTGAGACGAAATATAAAACGTGTGCTTGTGCTTGATTGTACTCAATCCTTTCTAGTGGAAATATTTTCTGAAGTTCTTTGGCAAGTTAACTTGCTCTATCAACGTATTGACGTGAAGAGCTATTTCTGCACACGACCCAATCGATCGTCAACGTTGCGCAACTCAGAGTGGGACTACTCTAGTACTCTTGATTGACGTTATACTTAGTAATTCTCTCTACAAACACGGACCCTTGGATAGGGGCTGGTTTATCAGGCACCCAAGGACCCTTGGAGGTGACCCCGTGGAGATTATTAAGTGTGCGCTTATCGGTGTATAGAGCCTTCTAGATCCCAATAGCTGTCAACAGTGGGGACTAGCTAGTGTTGATTAAAGGTGTGTTAAGAGTCTCTTCATCCCAAATAACGGTCAACAGTCTGAGCCGATTTCGGATTATCGGCCTGATTTCCGACCCGACCCGGCATAACATGAGAGAATCAGATCTCAGGACGACGCGACACAGCCAGGTATACGCGACCCAACACGGCCGGGTCGGTGTTTGGGAAAGGCCGGCCTGACTTGAGCAAAAACCCAGATCGGGCTGGGTCGACCCAACCTGACCAGAGATCCTTGAATGGCTGCGGGTTGGTATGGGCCCGCTGACAAAAAGGGGGTCATTTACCGGGGGGGTATGCATGAGCAGAAAAACGAATTGCGGTCCGGTTTGGTGCGGTTCGGTTTGTATCTACCCAAACCGAACGATTATTTCTGGGCCACCGGTTCATTAATATGCTCTTCCAATCCAGTCGGTTAGAAGATTAGTGGTTTCAACTTCGTGTAGTTGAGATAACATAGGTAGGCATGGGCATGGGCATGGTGGTGCGCTCAGGAGTTCATATGCTGCTGCCAGCCAGCATCACAGCAGTCAGCCAGCATGACGCCATGTTAGAAACACTGTATGGCAGCTTGGACTCGAAGAATGGCAGGACGGCATGGCAAGCAGTGACTCACAGCTCCTGCAGATTGACCAGATTGGCCCAGCTCTTGGGGAGGTAGCCATCCAGGTTGTTTCCCTCAAGGGACCTGCAGAGCGTGGGAGCAGGAAACAGATGGACTCCTGAGCTACTAGCTTGTGAGAAACTAGGGCACAACACGCGAGTGATTTTATTTCCCTACTGGAAATGGCGATGCATCAAGCAGTCTAGATGGCGACGGCAACTGCAACAGCAACAACAAAGACACGAAAACAATCCACCCTTTTTCAATATGCCTTTTACATTGCCTTTCACCTTAGTATGAGATGAAGGGATGACACTAAGCATCCTCATCTGGTTACAAGCTAACTGAGCTGAGCGAGCATGCTTGCTGCACTGCACTCCCACGTTCGATCAACTCACTCACATGCTGGTGAGTGCTGTGAGGTGAGATATGTCATCATTCAGCAAACGTCCCTGACGGAGTGGATAGTCCGATTCCAGGTTCCTGCGCACAAGGGAAGACCAGAAGAGTTGCCTTGCCGCACTGAGACAACAAGCCCAGTTACAGCCATGGCACATGTGGGGTGTAGCGTCTGGAAATGGTGGAAAGCGAGAGTAAAGCCGGAGGAGAGGAGCTCACAGATACTGAAGTTTGAAGAGTTGGGTAACCCAGTTGGGAAACTCCACAGCTCGAAGGAAGGATAGATCCCTGCAGGGAGGAAGGCTAGAGCATGTCACGTAGACTACCATGTCCAATCTTGCTCCATGAAAATGGAGAAAAACTTGCTCCATCTGTCCGATCTTGTGGGGGTGGAGGGGGTGGAGGGGTGTTTTTTGTGCAGATGAAAAAACTTTGGACTGGTGTGATCTTATCTTACAGTGTACTGAGGGAAGTCAGGTATTGGATCTCTCTGGGTATCTCCCCTGTCACGTTGGGGAGCGAACTGAGTTTCCTGTGCTCATGCACATGTGGATAGGCAAAGGTATATGCAGTGCGCTACATGTGCCAGATGCTTGTAGGTATAGAACAACATGGCGACATGCAATACGGTCGTATTTTTGCCACTCCTCCATTGATGTCATGTCTTACTTACTGGAGTCCATTGTACAAATTAAAATACATTTTCGAAAACAAAACGACCTTCTTTTTAACCTTGGTTGGTGACGCACGTTTTATAAAACGGAAAACGAACAGAATGTTTAGAAACTGACCACAATAAGCTTCTGCACTGCGATAATACTTACAATTGCTGAAGGCTTCTCATGTGAGAAAGAACGTGCAGGGACGAAGTCCCCTGTTAATGCCAAGTGCTGTAGACTCCTGGGTGATGGGAAGGAAGTGAAGTGAGTGACGCATGTAAGAACTTGAGCTTAAAATCCATGAATTAGTAATGAGCTCAAGGCTCTTTAAGTACATTGGAAATGGGCAAGGTAAGGGTGGGGAGAGAATCGGGGGCAATCCTAGGGAATTGGAGGTAATCCCAAGGCAATCTCCAATTGGTGGGTTGGAGATTGCTTGAAGATCACATTTGGGTTTGGTTGGGATGTGGGTGTACACCCAACCAAACACAAAGTGCAAACTACACTAAACTAGGATATAAAAAGTACAAGTACAAAAGTGAGATTGAGGGCTAACATTAACACCCCCCCATAGGCATCAATCGAACTCATGGCAGAGAAGGCGGAGCGCAGAGCCCCATGGTGCCGAGGAGGCGATGGTGGGGAACCTTCCCAAGGGGCTTGGTGAAGAGATCAGCCAAGTTGCAATCAGAAGCCACATACTCCACATTGAGCTGCTCCCGCTGGACAAGGTCACGGATGAAGAAGTGCCAAAGTTCGATGTGCTTGGTGCGAGTGTGGTACACGGGATCCTGGGACAGGTGGATGGTACTCTTGTTGTCACACCAGAGCGTGGGAGTGGGCTGAGGGTAGCCAAGCTCCTGGAGGAGGAAGGTGAGCCAACGGGCCTCTTGGGCAGCCATGGTGCTAGCGTAGAGCTCTGCCTCACAGGAGGAGAGGGAGACTGCTGACGACCTGGTGGAGCGCCAACTGACAATTCCGCTCCCAAGGGTGAAGCAGTACCCCTGAGAGGAGCGTCAGTCGGTTTGGTCATTGGCCCAAGAGGAGTCAGTGTAACCTTCCAGCCGAGGAGGGGAGAGCCCACCGAGTGTGAGAACGTGAGACTTGGTGCCCTGGAGATAACGCAGTACCCGCTTCGCTGCCTTCCAGTGAAGATCAGTAAAGCGCCCAGGGGGCACGTAGCGAGAGAGAGGACACTGACAGGATATGCCAAGTCCGGCCGGGTGCACATCATGGCGTACATGAGGGACCCAACAAGCTCCGGGTATGGCTCAGAGCAGGCCTCTGGTGTGGGTACAGCTGGGGCTGTGAGGAGGTGTTGCAGCGGCAGCGGGGTGGCAACAGGTGTACACAGCTCCACCTCAAACTGCTTGAGCACATTGTTGATGTAGAACTCCTGGGAGAGACAAATGGTGCGAGCTTTGCGATCACGTGTGATCTCCATCCCCGGGTAGTGCTTAAGGTCACCGAGGTCTTTCATCAGGAGGGCCTTGCTCAGGGCCGCCTGGACAGAGGTCATCTGGGCCGAGTCCTTGGCAGCGAGGATGAAGTCATCGACGTAGACAAGGATGTAGAATGGCTCAGAATGACGGCGAATGAAGAGAGTCGGGCCAGCAGATGATGGGTGGAAGTCCAAGGAGAGAAGGACTTCTTTCACCTTGTGCCATTCGCGAGGGGCTTGCTTGAGGCCGTAGATGGGGCGATTCAGCTTCCAGACAGTGTTGGGAGGGAATTCTCCTGAGAAGCCTTCAGATCTGTCCATGAACACTGTCTCCTTGAGGCGTCCTTGTAGGAAAGCTGATGAAGCGTCCATGGATTTGATCTCAAAGTCTTCTCGTGCTGCGACATCCATAAGCGTGCGAATAGTGGGAGGTTTGGATGTGGGGGAGGTGGTCTTGAAGAAGTCGTGGTACTGCTGCTGGGTGAAACCCTTGGCTACGTAACGCGCTTTGAACACCGGGGCCTCGTCTGGGAGCTGTTTCACACGAAACAACCACTTGCCCCGACGATGTTGACCCCTGGAGGTGGAGTCTCGTCGTCGAAGGAGTGGTTGCGGGTGAATGCTTCAATCTCAGCTTCCATGGCGGCACACCATTCGGCTGCATGGGGACCCGAGAGAGCCTCTTGGACGGTGATAGGGATAGGGATGGTCGGGTTCTCCGTGAAGTTGAGTGAGGGTGATTCAGTGATGTCGGGGAAGATGTGCGAGAGCTGAGGAATGACTGCGCGAAGATCACACAGCTCCTCATGCCTGTCTTCCAGAAGGGTAGAGGGCACATCCCCCCCAGCAGGAGGAGGCGGAGTGATCGCGGTGCATCGAAGAACCAGTGCCAGTGGAAGAGCAGCGCCATGCGAGCGAGTGCCATGAGCCACCGGAGAAGAGGGTGGGGCAGGCGGTGTCGGAGGGGTTGATTTAGGAGGCTTGGGTGGGGGAATGGGCCGCCGCTGGTACGTGATCAGCTCGGGCGACTGTGGGAGAGCGGGTTCCTGAGTGGAAGGGGGGACAGGGGGAGGAGGTGGGGCCGGAGGGTTCGACCGCCGATGGTATGTGATTGGTGCGCTTGGTACTGGTGGCGCAGTTGGGAGAGTGGGAGAAGGGGGGGATGGGGGAGCAGCTGCCGATGACACCGGTGAGGTCGGGTCAGAGACCTCCGAGGGAGAGGGTGCGATGGCAGGGGATGTAGGAGGTGAAGGAGCTGGTGCAGGCGGGAGCGCAGGAGGTGCATCAAAGTCAGCCCACACGAGAGAGGGTGGTCCGGAAGGGGGGTCGTCCCCCGAGGTGGAGTAGAAGGGGCGGGTCTCATCAAAGACAACGTCACGGCTCCGGACTAACTGTTGAGTGGAGGGGTTGAGGAAGATGTAGTCAGGCGAGTCGGCGTTATGCCCAAGGTATATGCACGTTTGAGTTTTGGGACCAAGCTTGCCACCTTGCCGCCGTCGAGCCTGGGGGTTGAGGAGTACATAGGCGGTGCACCCCCAGACGCGGAGGGGGCGAGCAGTGGGTGTTTTCCCGAGCCAGGGTGTGGTGGGAGTGGTGTCGGGGAGATGCGGGTGGGGATAGAGGTTGTAGAGGAGGGCGGCATGATAGAGGGCGTACCCCCAGAGTGAGAGTGGTGCATTGGAGTGGCTGAGGAGGCAGCGAGTGATCTGCGTCAGTGTGTGATTGCGGCTTTCTGCTATGCCGTTCTGCTGCGGGCTGTCAGGAAGTGTGAAGTTTTGCAGGATGCCAAGGGAGGAGCAGAAGGCTTTGAGCTTGTCATTCCAAAATTCACCACCACCATCCGAATGGAGGCGCTTGACCTTGGTGCCAAAGGAGGTATGTGCTTGGTTAACCCATGTCATGATTGCCTCCGGGGCCTCAGCCTTAGTGTGGAGGAGGTGCACAGAGACGTAGCGAGTGTGATCATCAACAATCAGAAGGAAATAGCGATGGCCACCCCGTGCGGCAACCGGGGCAGGGCCCCAGACGTCCATGTGCACTAGGTCCAGTGGGGCTGCTGCTACTAAGGATGAGGCCGTGTGGGGCTGTTGGCGCAGTTTGCTCTTGGTGCAGTCAAGGCACGTGGGGGCGGGTGAGTTTGGTGGTGGAGGAAGTGAGGCTGGCAGGCCGAGAAGAAGTTTCCTGGAGGCCATGTCCGCAAGCGTGCGGAAGTTTGGGTGCCCGAGCCGATGGTGGTAGAGGATGGTCGGGTTGGAGAAGCTGCGACATGAGCATGGTGTGATAGTAGCCTGTGTTTGGGTGGTTGACACCTGTGGGATGGGTACGCGTAGCGTGTAAAGGCCGCTGCTATTGAGGGTGAAGCGAGCCAAGACCTTATTGGTGAGTGGATCAATGATGTCGCAATAGTTCTCTATCTCCGAGAAGATGGTGCGTAACCCCGCCTCCTGAATTTCCGTTTGAGCCACTAGATTGTGGCGTAGTGAAGGCACGCACATGCCAGTGACAGTGCCGGATGGGAAGGCGGGGCACGGGACTGTGGATGAACTCTTGGCAAGAGTGGTGAAGCTTGAATCAGCTCCCAGGAGAGGAATGGGTGTTGTGTAGGGTTTGAAGGAGAGTGTCTCCTTGAGCATTGTGTGAGTGGCCCCGCTGTCAAGTGTGAATTCTATGTATTGTGGTGCCTGTGATGAGCCGATGTACTGCGAAGTTGCTTTATGAATCATGGCAGTGCCAGGGAACAACAAGTTGATGCGCACATCAGCAGGGGCACTATCAAGCACTAGCCTGAGCAAGGTCCTGTGCCTCAACTATGTTGGCCTTGCGAGGACGCATCCAATTCGGCGGCTTTTTGTCGACTCCATGAATGGCATGCCATTCGTCGTCTTTCTTCTTGAAGCGTGTGGCGAGGGGGTGGTTAGTGCCACCACACACTTGTCTCTTGCGGTTGCCATACTTGACGATGTAGGTGCATGGAGGGAAGCGGTTGCGCTGAAAGGACGCAGTGCCGATGCGACACTTGCTTGAGGCACGGGAGCACGGAGGGCATAGGCCTTGGCTTGGGCCGAGGAGTCTTTCCCGGCGAAGAGGAGGGAGGAGGATTCCTTAGCAAAAGTGAGGTCTTCCGCCGAGGACGTGAGGAGCATTTTCCTTGTGACTTCGTGTGCCGAGGTGAGGCCAACAAGAAGGGCAGCCGCAGGAGCTTGTTCGGGGAAGACGATACCTAGCTCCT